AGTCTGGTGTGTTTAAGACCTATTAACCAGTCAGACAATAATGGCGAGTGCTTGTTTGCTCTTCAAATAGTTAGCCAGAGAAGCATAAATGTGTCATTTTTCAGGGCAAGCACATAGACAGCCATATATGCCCCAATGCTTTAGCTATACATTCTTCACACCTAAACATTGTTCAATAGGCCCTTTGCCTATCAATTTGGGCTTGCCGATCTGTCCAACTGGGCTACCTAACTTCTAACATGTCTGTGCAATGTTTGCGAAATCTTCAATCTCTATGCTTTCACAAAGTGTGCATGGCCTTGGTCTGCAAGAGTGCTCGGCAAAAATGGATTGGCTTCAGCTAGGCTGCGAAAGATTCTGTGAACGCTGTGGCGTATGTCGGCGTGGTTACTTGTTTTTATATTCTGGTGCGTGATCGTGAATTTTTCTGAAAATCAGACTGAGTTGCCAAGACAGGACATTTACGCCTAAATGCATGATCTCGATCACGCCAATCACCAAGACGAGAACTCGACTGGTCGTCTTCTGCTAGACCGGCTGAATTCCTGACCACCTAGAGGCCTGCGTGAATGCAGTATTAAATGGTTGCTAACTCGTATTACTGGTGGCCTGTCTGCAAGCCAATCTATCAGCCCCAATGTCTGTCCAATGTGATCTAGTTTGGCTGAGCCTGTTTTCTCTAATCATCCTGTGTTACATGCGTAAATGGTTGATTCTTCCACAATTATTTACTTTTCTCCTTCTCATGGATGCCTTAGTGTTAAATTCTGCTATATGTTGACATCACGTGCTAGGCCAACCAGCGATTTGGCAGAATTTACGGTGATCTAAGTCGAAGTGAAACAGGCTTTTCATACCTCAACAATCAAGTCGTCTGGGAAATGCACACATGAATCCGCTAAATTGAGATGAAGCTGATTCTAGTTGCTATACTCCATCTACACATTTTTCAAAATCTTACCGATTTCAAGGAATACACATCAAGGAAGTGTGTCAAAACAGCCCAGGGCTCAAAACTATCTTCATCCTGTCAGGGTCAAAGCTGAAGGGCATGAACAGATTGACTCCAGGTGTGACAGTGGTCGAGAAATCATCCGTGAGCCAGATCCGAGTCCGCTGGAAGGATCGTCTGAGAGCGGCTAATAGCAGGACACAGGATGCTCGAAGAGCGCTACAACCGACGCGTTGCACAGTAAACGTGGATTCGACCGTTGAACTGCCTAATAATGATGGCTTCGGCAGCCATCAATTCTTTCACGGAAAGGGACTAATTGAGCCGGGCTTGAGTGGCGGCAAGTGCAATCGACTCATCTCAAACAGCTTTTCCAATCTTAGCGGAGAGATCACAGCTGTTCATGAATGTGCGAATCCGGAGGAGACAAGAGAGACCAAAGGGTCAAAATTTAGGTTGAAGATGTGCAATAATTTATTGTCCCGGCTCTATCTCGGAAAAAGTACCTCAAACCTCGTCAGTCTTGCTGGCAATAGACAGAGTCACTTTATGCAAAATGAATCCAACGCTCCGGGGCATCCGTTGTGCGATAGTTATACGCGATTATGTCCACGACAGTGTGATTATAAGTTGGATGACCATCCGCTGCGCCAGCAAATATCACCGCCCTGTAAGCCGGGATATTTGGGTCTGGGTTCCTATATACCAAGTGGAGAATTTTTTGCGAAACCCGGAGCTGCTATGAACGAGCCTGAAGCAACGCAAAAGATGTCTACTTCCACTGGACATCCGGCATCATGTGAAGCTGGGGAACGTGATCCAGTAATGAAGATGCCCAACAAGTCGGACAATCGCAAAAAAAGGCAAAAAAAAGAGTTTACAAAGTGGCGGTTGTCATCATCGTTAGCTGACTTGGCGAACCAAGGGACTAGTCACAAGCAAGGGAATTCATCTCCGATTCAGAATCATAACGTTAGAGCTATGCTTAATCTACCTATTCTTAGTGGGACCACTTCTAGCGTTGACACCTCGGCCCATTCAGGAGCAACTAAAGAGGTCAAGATCAGAACGAAGAGTCAAGCGATCTCGAGACTCGAGAAGGAATATAAAGACAATAGGATTGCCAACTTGAGTGGAAAAAACATTAGACAGGCCAGTAGTCCTTCATGTGAAGATACATTTACAAATACAACAGTGATGAAAGAAGACAGTAGCCAAATTTTGTCGCCCTTTAGGCTTGCACAAAATGAGGCAATAATAACATCCAGCAATCCAGTTAACCCTGAACCGGAGAGTCTGAGCGTTTTCAAGATAACCAAAGAGTCTGAAGCCGTCGAATACAAGCAGGAGGTTGTCAACACTCCACTTAACGATGCGGCAGCCGAGCTTTCTACCGATTTCTTCAGACCCTCGTTTCATTCTGGAAATTCGAATGAAAATTATTGCCAAAGTGTTGATATCGCTAAAGGATATTTAGCAGAAAAAGACTTAAATTCAGATAGTTTACTCGAAAAGGAATCTATAAATCCACTCGATTCAGTATCTGATTCGTATGCAGCAGCGAAAAGGCGGGAAGCTGATTGCGATGACATATCTCGGATGGCAGCATCCACTATCCAAGAAGAAATCAGATTCTGTCCATCAAATGAGTTGCAATTGAATTACTTGGAGAAAGCAAAGTTGTGTGATACGTTGCAGCCACAGAATATTGGGCAAAATGCGAGCCGAGATAATATAGTTTCTGTCTTTCAACTCTTAGAACGGCCTATAGCTTCAGTAGAGAAGTGGAATATCCCCAGTTTGGATGACAAAGTTAAGAGCCCTACTTCATTCGTGGGACACAAGCTTATGCCGTACGACTGTCATGATCAACTTATAGAGGCTGTATCCCAAGATAACTTATTAAAAACATGCAGAGGTGTCGGCCAGTGCAACATTCCACCTCTCCTAATTTCTGAACGAGATCACGTTCCTGCACGCAGTGGACCTTATATTGTGAGCATTGCAGCTAAATCCATTCCTGAAAATTAGTATATATTTCACAATCCATCGAATTATATAATGATAAAAAGCATAATTTTGGTTAGTTATAGAGAGCATTGTATGTTTTAATTGTTATACATAGAAATACACTATGCTACTGATATCAAAGAATTTGGATATTTCAGGGCAGTCAAAAATAATGAGGAATGTAAAAACCACTAAAACATTATCTTTTTTCTCATTGAATATTCACATAATCTTATTATTATAAAAATTGGTTAGTATTAACAGTGAATAATCCAGTCAAGCTATTATAGGTAAATGGCTATATAGTTCTTAACGATAATTGATTTTATTAAATGTCCTAGCTAAGGAATTATCTTCTTTTGTTCCCGAAAAATTATTTTGCCACAATTCATTGGGCATAGTAGTACAGAACACACTATTTAACTTTTTAAGATAGGTTAAACTGAATTCAATTTGTATTGAAGGATGAATTCATCTTAATTTTACCAGATTAAAATCCACATAAATGTAAAATATGCTATAAAAATTTGAATTTCATATTTATCATTTGAATAGTTAATGCTTAATTTAGAAAGAAACAATCTCCTTTATTGGCCACTATGAAATAACTTCAGGAGAGCAAATAAAAAAACAGAAGAAAAATATTTCTTAAATACAATTTATCTCATATACTTCTAAGAACCTATTTTTTAAAATAACATATGGCGCTAAATTTCAATATAAAAGGCATGATCGATTTCGTAAATATAACGCATTTATTTAGTAAAGATTGCAGATGTTTCAATTTTATTATGCTCTTAAATAGATTATAAATAGGCGCAATGCTAGAAAATCATATATTTTACAGATAGAACCTTATTAGAGGTTAATTAACATAGCGATAAGCCAAAATTACTAAAAGTGTAAAACAAAATCAAAATATAATTATAAATACACATAA